TTCGCAATGAAAATCGTGTCATTCTTCATGGTCCATTTCGATGGCGAAAATTTTCGATTAAAAGAAAGCAGAGAAGAAAAGGGTTAGTCGAGTATCAGGCGGATGTAATTCTCGAGTGTATCTTCGAATGCCACGAATGGTATACAATTCGCAATGAAAATCATGTCATTCGACGATTCTTCATACTTCATTCAGACGAGAATTTTCGATTAAAATAAAACAGAGAAGGAAAGGGTTAGTCGAGTATCAGTGGACGTAATTCTGTCTAATTTTTCATATTCCATCTCGACGACGAAAATCTTTTTGATTAAAAGAAAGCAGAGGTACGATTAGCCGAATATCAGATGGATGTAATTCATCGAATGTATTCTCTTCTATATTTTCGAATGAATTTTACAATTCGCAGCGTGTCAAAAATCGTCATTCGACGATTCTTCATAGTCCATCCAGACGAAGAAAATTTTTTCGATTGAAACAACGATTTTCGAAATCGATTAGCTGAATACCAGATATAATTATCCATCGATATAATTGTCTTCTCTCGTTTTCGAATGGATTTTAAAAATCGTCATTCGACGATTCTTCATCTCGACGAAAATCTTTTCGATTGAAAGAAAGTCGAATATCGAGTGGACATAATTCTTTCCATCGAATGTATTCTCTTCTATGTTTTCGAATGAATTTCACAATTCGCAGCGTCATTCGACGATTCTTTATATTCCGTCCAGAGAATTTTCGATTGAAACAAAACAGAGGAGGTACGATTAGCCGAGTACCAGGCGGACGTAATTCTGTCCATCGAATGTATTCTCTCGTTTTCGAATCTATTTCACAATTCGCAGCGTGTCGAGAATCGTGATTCGACGATTCTTCATCCCGACGACGAGAATCTTCTCGATCGAAACAAAACAGAGGAGGAGAGTTATACGTTGTGCGCGGGCGCTTTGAAAGGGGCGTTTTTTTCTCGTTAACGTCGAACGTCGATTTGATTGCATTTCCCCGTCCGAGCATTGTCCGCCGGCCGGCAAAAATGATTTTTCGGCCGGCCAATATTTTGATTCCGATTTAAATGCAAACGAAATGGAACGATCGAGACCGTTCCTCGTCCAAGACGTTTCTCCGATTTCCCTCTCTCTTCCCCCCTTTTTCTTCTTTTTCAACCCGATAAATTCGAACATTACTCTTTCGTTTCTTTCTAAACTAAAACTAAACTAACTTTCTAAACTAAACTTTCTTTCTAAATGATCGATATTTTTAAAATGAAAAATTTCGAAAAGTGAATCGAAAAACAATTATATTCACACAAATATTCACTTGGCAAACGTGCGTGAACAGGTAGTCGTTTCGTTTCTTTCTACGATCGATATTTCTAAAACGGAATAATTTCGAAAAGAATCGAAAAACAATTACATTCATACAGATATTTACTTGGCAAACGTGCGTGAACAGATAGTCGTTTCGTTTCTTTCTACGATCGATATTTCTAAAACGGAATAATTTCGAAAAGTGAATCGTATCACACGCCACGCAAGATTTCATTTCATTTCGATGCTAAAAATACACTATTACGAATTTAATCGCGATTATATCGTTGCACTAATAACACGCGAGGAAGAAGGAAGGAAGGAAGCGAAAATGTAGCGTTTCGAAAAACAATTACATTCACATAGATATTTATTTGACAAACGTGCGTGAACAGGTAGTCGTTTCGTTTCTTTCTAAACGATCGATATTTTTAAAACGAAATAATTTCGAAAAGTGAATCGAAAAACAATTACATTCACACAAATATTCACTTGGCAAACAGATAGTCGTTTCGTTTCTTTCTACCCGAAACGATCGATATTTCTAAAACGGAATAATTTCGAAAAGTGAATCGTAAAGCAATTGTATCTACATTCATACCCATACAGACTTGGCAAACGTGCATGAACAGTCGATAATAATGTCGCGAGAGGGCGTTGCGGGCGTTCTTCGAGCATAAATCGACGGGGCCGCGCGACAGCCGGTGATACACCGCCGTATTATCGCTGGCCTAACAATATTTTTCAATCGCACCTCGCTCGCATCGAGGAGAGAGGAGTCGCTTGGTCAGCTGGCGCGACCGAGCCATGTATCAATTATACGAAGTTGCATCTCGCGCACGAATAAATAGAAACACGCGCGGCCGTGTGTTAGTGGTGGTAATGGTGGTGGTGGGGATGGTGTGGCGACACGAGATCGCTACTTCGCCACGTACCGAGTGGTAGCCGGCCAGCCCCCTTTCACGGAGAGATTCGGATGGATTGGATGGGTCGTGCGATAAAACGACCTCACCGGGACCATTCCGCGATAGATTGACCAATATGATGGATCGACCGCTCCGTTATATCGCGCTCTTCGGCCATCCACTCGGCCGAATCCGAGCCACTACCATCACGGATTAGGATTTCCATCGAAAAGCCTCGAAACGCTACATTTTCGCTTCCTTCCTCCCTTCTTCCTCGCTGTTATTATATCGCAACGATATAATCGCGATTAAATTCGTAATAGTGTATTTTTAGCATCGAAATGAAATGGAATCTTGCGTGGCGTGCGATACGAGAATTATATTAGGCGAATGTAATTTTGGTTTGGTTGTGCAATGAAAATACGAGGAGGAAAAGGGAGGAAAAAGCGGTTGAATTTTTAGGGGAAGGGATATTAAACTTGGGCTTCGCCCAATTACTTTGAATACTTTTAACACGGGATAATTTTCGAAGCAACAGGTATCCGCGCGAGAAGTCATAATTTTGATCGAACAAAGCACGGGCCGGAACAACGCGCAATAATGCACTTATTTACGTTTTATACGCAGCGGAATAATAGGAATAGAGATTTAACGAATCGACATTGTTCGCAATCATCTTGTTTCGAATCGATCTCCGACCGATTTTTTCGCGTTCGCGATTTCTGTGTATTGCGAGGAAAATTACATTTAAAAAGAAAAAAAAAAAAAAAAGGGAACGCTCCTTAGCGAGCGCTTGAATTTCGACAAAGTCGACGATCCGTAATTAAACGATGCAAGCCTTTGTCGAGAGAATAAACGGAAATATATTATTTTAAAAAACGCCCTCGAAATACGTCTCCTTTTATTTCGTTTCACGCATAACTATTCGCAATTAATGTTCCACCAACTGTTCGGTAACAGAACGGATGAGGCATTCTGTTTCCGGCGACAATAGGAATTATCCACGTTGGAAAATTGCACGAAATTTTTCGCCCCCGAACACCAAACACGAAAATTCGTTTCGTATCGATTAAACATCACGATGAATGGCCCCGATAGACATACGCGCATGCTACGAATTACGTTTAAATATTTGCGATATTTGCAAAAGTTTTATCAACAATTTGGAGCGAAAACAATGATTTTTCAATCATTTTAATTTTAATTCCCTCGACTATCTTACAAGATCTCTGATTTTTCCCTTCTTAAAAAAACTCGTTTATTGTCGCGGCAATCGCCGTGCAGTAGTATAGATCAATCATTACAGAAGAGGCAATATTCGAACGTAATTTTCTAGAAACGTGTACGTACAGTTCAAACGGTTCTCGATAACGAGGGATCATCGCTGCTATTATACCGAAAGAGACATCGATCTCGCCGCCGAAACAACGTGACCGAGCAAAGACAGAAATTTCTTGCCCTTTTTCGGAAGAAACGGCGCCAGATTCTCTCCACTTGCTCGAGCAAGAAGTTATCTCTCTCGTGGAAGCCCGCGTCGAGAACTGCGGCCATTAAGCTGCTCGAGGGAAACGGCCNATATATATCGGCACGCGATGCCCAAG